TAAAAATCCCGTTGGCCTTGGTGCTTTCCCCCCATTTCCTTTTTTTGGGGTTTTTATTTGGGGTTTTCGGGTTGGCCTTTCCTTCGTTTCGGCCCTTTCCCCCCCGGGGTTTACCCCCCTTCTTGCCAAATTAAAAATTAGGGTGGAAAAAAAAAAGGATTTGTGGAAAATCCAGTTACCTTTTTTGGCCGTTTTAAATTCTTTTTTATTTTTTTTTAGCCTTTTTTTTTTAAATAGAAAGGGTTTTTTTGGTTCTTACCATTATTAAAAAAAAAGGGGCCCCCCAGGGCCCTTGGGCCACCCCAGTTGGGCCTTTTTTCGCAACCTTTTTTTTTTTTTTTTATAATTTGGCCAGGGGGGGTTTTTTTTTCCCTACCCCTTACCCTTATTCCGGTCCCCCCCCCAAAAACCAAAATAAACATCCTCGCGAAGGCTACAGCCTAGCTGGGGGGGGGGGGGGGGCGGGAGCAAGTGAGGTGGGTAAGCTTTACGCTTGTCGTAAATATCCGGTAGGATGGTAAAGTCGCGAGACAGAAGGACGGCGAGAGGGGGAGAGGAATACGAGAGGTAGAGGGGTGTTGTCAGAAACGAGAGGAGGGGGGCGGAATCCGGTTGAAAAAACAAAAGATTTACCGCTTGGGCTGCTGTGCCACACATGCATGCACGCCTAAACCGCGTCAAAATGGTGAAGCTGGAGGAGCTTTGTTTGACTATAGGTAAGCAATTTCTCTTATTTAGTGCGAACACCGCACAGCAGCAACAATCACAACAACGGCGACAGCAGCAGCAGCAGCAACAACAACAACAACCCACATGTCTTGACGGGCCAAGAAGGTCTTCGTCGCTACTGTTGCCCTCGTCGTCGTTCAACGCGTAGTACCTGATGTCCCGCCAAGATAAGAGCAAGGTTTGGGGTAGGGATTCTTGTAGGGTTAAAGAAAAACAAAAAGCAGCGGTAGGAATACATGTAGGGTTAAAGAAAAACAGAAGGTCATCGATTGGGATACATGTAGGAGTAAACATCCAAGGTCATCGACAGGGATACATGTAGAGTTTAACGAAAGGTCGGCGATAGGGATACAGCAGGGTCAAAGAGAAACGCAAGGTCAGCGATAGGGATAGGGATAAGGTTAGTAGGGGGGGGGGGGGTCCCAACGTAAAAAAAAACACCTTCGGACCGTCCCAGGTTGCCGACCGATGATAACACAGGGCAAGACCCAGATGTTGAACGACGAAGGTTTTTGCGTAAGGCCGGAGTCGAAAACCGTGGGTGACGCGACTCGAGAACCACCCACGCCTGTCTTCCGGACGGCGGCCGTGGACAGGAAGATTTTCCCTCAATTTTTCCCGAGGTCCGCTTGCTTGCGGCAACTTGCGGCAACGTTGGTGTTCTCATAAGCTTTCACTTACCCCCCCCAAACCCCGAGAATTCATCCACATCTGATCCGCTCGTTAAATACGGTGAAGGTCAACCCCTGTCGAAAACCCGGAAGACATACCGCTCCGTCCCGGCAGCATTGTAGGGACGCGAGGTCTATGGTCAAACCACTACGGCATGCGTCTACATGAGTCACCCCCCCCCCCCCCACCGAGCCTGGTCCGGTGAGAATCCGGCGTGCTCCGTCCCGGCTTTGTGGGGATGCGAGGTCTATGGTCCAAATACTATGACATGCGTTTACACGAGTAACCCCCCCTTTCGTTATATACCACACACCCACTTTTACTCTATCTGCATGCCGAACCGGTTGGTCGGGCCCGTTTATTTAACCGCTGGCGAGGCCTTGTAACTGTAAACCCAGCTGGCGTTTCTTGTACGAAGCAACCGGGGGGGGGGATTCATCCGTTCTCACCGTAAGCCACGCTCGTTGAGAAACACGTTCTAGAATTCACAATGCTAAACCCAAGCGTTCACCGATGACGAACAGGCAACAGACATCTGTGGGACCAATGTCTGGTCGCGAGACTGCTGTTACGCCCGAGGGTTCGAAGCCGCCGTTCTCCCTGCTGTTGTCTTTTGCGACACGAAAATTGAGTCAACTGCCTTGCTGCGGTTGCGTGCGTCCAACCCCATCTTTCTCTATCTCCCTTCCCGGTTTTGGTCGAAAACTTGCTGACACGCCAACGGCGGCTATGATGCTCCAACTGAGCCAGCAACCACGTGTGTTGCTGTGTTGCTGTGGTGCCTGCAGCGAACCCTGCGTTGCTTTGCTGGTGAGGCAGAGGGTGGGCAAAGCGTCTCGAGGAAAACAACGCTACCAACATGGAGAAGGCTACAGCTGTTGTTGCTGTTATTGTTGTTGTTGTTGTTGTCTTGACATTAAAAACCGTCCCGTTCTCTCTACCCAGTACCTTCATCTGTCCTTACTGATCAAACACTTGACCGGTCGATTCCCGTGGTCACAGGTTAACTTACCCAAGAGAGGTAGACTGAAATAAAATGGACCCGAAGGGTCCGCAAGCCAATTAAAATGAACGATAGAGAGCCTGGACCCCTCCGCTCCCCTCTACACGCTATGTGGGGCAGAAATGGAACTGGAAGTCAGCATCACATGATTACGAGAATACCATCTGCTGCAGATGTTGGCCGGTACACACGTGAAAAAAACACAAAAAACACAAGCACGACACATGATAGCAGTCGCCATACTGATGTAGAACTTATTGTGTATGCAGGTACAGTGGAGACAAGCTGGCAACGGTGAGTGATTGTGCCATTGCAAGCAACTCTTCCGTAGGCTATTATAGCGTTCCCCGGCCGTCATTGCGGGAAGACTACTGCTGAAAATGGTGCAAGCGCCAATGGAATGCCGTCGGCCATACCATAAGCATGGATGGAGTAGATCTCAGGTTGGAGTATTGGCAATTCTTCTCGACGGAGAAACACAGCGTTCAGGGGCATACGGTATACGCGAAGCACATGAAGCAGAGCGCAAGTTGAACGTCGGATCGCGAGACCGTGTTCCCTGGAAAAGGCGTTGTGTGGGACGGGCGTACGCTCGCGTGGTGGTGTGAGCTGGCTATACTGCGCAATCTCTGCGCCAGCACCATTTCCTTCTGGGTGGAAAGATGCAGCGTTGCGGGGCATATTGTGCGTCCAGTACACGAAGCAGAGCGCAAGCCGAACGTCGGATCGCGAGACTATGTGGCACGGGCGTACTGCTGTCGCGGTGTACGCTAGCAGTCTGCGTCATCACCACCACCAAGTAGTCTAGTTGCTGTCGACAACGGCAGTCAGTGCATTGCAACAGCAGTTGTACATTGCAGTGAGTGTAGTCTCCCTCAGCCTACTAGAGGCACGAGTGCATGGCGCGAAACACAGCAGCGATGGGGGCAAGCGATGCTTTTCAACTTTCGCCATCTACGCCTTCGTACTGCTGTCTATGGTGCTCTCTGTCTACAGCAGTCTAATGCACACGCCTACTGTTTTTGGTTGTACCTGTAGATGTTTGGAACAAGATCATTGATGATGTGATCGAATGCAGTGACCTTTTTTGTGATGCGGAGAGAAAAAAACAGTCTGCAGTTGGCCCTTGTGCTGCTGATGAGATCCACACAAGTTGCACTATACCTTGTGCGCTGCTTGATATGCTGGTACGAAGCAGGCATGATCTCCTTCCCCACTCCCACACGAGCCATCGCACCCCCGCAGCCAGCAAGATGGCCATGCGACTGGCCAGCGGCGCCGCAGGCCGTTTTTGCTGCTTTTCGGCAGGGGGTCTCCCAACTAATAAATGACTGATAGTATTGCTCTGCGGTCTGAAGGCCCCCTCCCTCGCAGGCGCAAGGCAGGCGCACTCGCCCGCAGCGAGCCAGGCACACAGCACAGCAACGGACGACAGGTTACCGGAGCACACATAGACCGAGGATAAGCGATCGTTCAAGTCCGTGGAAGAGATGGGTGAGTAGACATCCTTCTGATTGTTTTCATGGTGCTGCCCGCAGCAGAGAGGAAACAGGGCCAGTGTTGCAGTCTGGTTACCGGCAATGCAATGTAAACGTGCGATGGTCGTGACACTTGGAAGGCTCGTCGTGCCGCACTGCTTCTGGCGTCGCTGTGCTCTCCCTATGTTGTAGATTGGTGGTGCAGCAGCAGAGTGATCATATTCAAGCGTGCGAGTAGGCGTGCAGCATGCAGAGGCCGCGCGTTGGGCCCACTTGCGAGTCGTACAACACACAAAACAATGTCAGACACAAGAGATTGTACAGCCGGTCTCTGCGAGCAGATCACGCCGCGGCGGATCGCACACGGCAAAGTCACACACATGTCGTGCCTGCTGTCTGCTTGCTGCAAACCTGGAAAATTGGTGAGAAGCTGTGGCAGCAGTAGTCCCGCGATGTAGTCTCCTCTGCAATAGGCCATCGAGCAAGATGATGCCGACCCTGCCCCTCGGCCGTGTTTGTGAGTCGTAAGTCGCCGTCGCCGGTATGAATGTCAATATGATGGAAGATAGCACCCCGTGTAGCTGCGTACACTCACGGATGCTTAGCGAGTGTCAGAGTGCGACTTTGGTGCTTGCAAATGTACACCCGGCAAATATTATCGCTCGGGTTGTTTCTCGTGGCATTACTGCCTTTCTCTGCTTTGTCATACGCAACAATAGATTGCTGGCTCAGTTGTTGTGTAGTATTGGTCCGCTCTTTTTTTTTCTTTGATTTTCGTCCGGGGCAAGCAGGGTTGACCCGGGAGAAAATTGAAAATAGCAACGATTTCCAGAGCGTTGGTGTATCTGTACAACACATGTGCACACGGCGTCGCTTGAAGGCCAGCTTGCCTAGGCAGAGTCAAAATTTCGTTCGCTATGCGTAGACGTTCGACACCCATGTCTCAAGTCTCATTCATACTGCTGCACGAAACTGCATCATGAAGCAGCAAGGGATAAGAGCCCACCCCCCCACACCATGATAGACGCGGCAGCAGCAGCAGCAAGGCGCAAAGAAACAGCACCAAGGAGACCTCGCTGCATGCGCACGCAGCTTTTTTCTTGCGCACTCTCTGCTATGTGTTTTATCTTGTTGCTGTGTTTCCCCGCCTGGCGTGTCAAAACATTTTTAT